CCCCCGCCCCGGGACAGAGGGGCCTATAGGATATCGGCATCACACCTCACACCAAATGTAACCACCCCCTTCAGACAGTTCGGTCTCATCAGAGCTAGAGCCCAGCTTGGGAAGGGCTAAGTGTCCCCTGGAAGCCCGAGAAGGAGGTGGCAAGGCTGGGGACTGGTGGCCCAGAAAGAGGAAACCGTCCGAGGGAAGGCTGGGTGGCGAGAGCGCCCTAGGTGAGAGCGTTCTAGGAAGGCGGCGGGTGGGGAGCTGCAGGGTGCTCAGGTCGGAACAGTTAGGGAAAGCACTCTGCGCTCTGCAGACCCATCTGGAAACACTGACCTTCCGAAGCACTCCTGCCCCAGGCCAAGGGGACCCTAGGATACAGGGTGTTTCAGGGGTCCCTCCATGATTGCGTCTTTGCAAGGACTAGCTGAGTGGGCTCTGGAAGCCCTGGGCTGGGCCAGGCAGGTGACAGCGTCTCTCTTCTCCCTATGACAGGAGGTGGGGCCCGCAGAAGCCAAGGCCTCCCGGCCAACAGCATCATCGATGTGGACCTCGTTGTTGGCTTGGCACCTGAGCTGGGCAGCAGTGTCCTGGGGACACGGCCGGGCCCTGGGAAGTTGAGGGTCCGTGGGCCCCTGATGTCAGACCTCCCTGGCCTGAGCCCCACCCCGGCTGAGCCCTCTAAGCCCAAAGCCAGCACACACCATGCAACCTTCGTCTGAAGCTCCCCTGCTGCCCACGTGTGGAGCTGCCCTAGCCAGGACGACTCTCAGACCACGTGTCTGGTGATCCATGGTCTCATGTGGTTGCCTGGGCATGTCCCCAGGAGAAGTGTCCTCGGCCTTGGAGGGGTCACCTGGGCTGCCACACTCTCAGGAGCCAAACCAAGAGAGAACAGAGGACCACACTGAAGGGAGCCCCTCGGTGTTCAGCCCTTGCCCAATAAAGCATGTTTGGGGACCCACCAAGTGTCAGCCTCGTGCTGGGTGCCAGGGATGCAGAAAGGTAGACAGAGTGAAGGCGACCTGATAGGGCTCCAGGCCAAGCCCTGTCAGCAGCGAGGAGTGGACAAGTCACATTGTCCCCTACCAATGCCCTCCCTCCCCTCTCAGGTGGCCACTGTGGGCCTAAGGCAGGAGCTCAGCAGGTCCCTGTGCTCTGCAGCCCAAAGCCAGGTCTCCTGGGTGTGGCCCTCACTGCCCTGGCACAAGGGACCCCTCTGGCATTGTGCCCATCCACTGCCCTTGGCTTCACCTGGAGGAGTGGTCCAGAAAAGTCTTTCTGTGGAGGGACCATCTGAGGGCCACCTGGCTGCAGAGAGGGCCTAGGAAAGTGTGCAGCAGGTGGGAAGGCCCTGGAGCCAGAGGGCATCTGATTATATTGGGTCATCCAAAAGGCCGTGATGTATTTTTGTATAGAAAAACCGAAAAATACAACAACCCAATAGAATGCAAATCCCCAGGTGGCTGGAGCCTAGGCAGGAGGGAAAGCCGGGCAGGGCTAGACTGGCGAGCAGAGCCACAGGTGGTGTGGGTTGAATCCCAAAGAGTTGGTACCATCAGCCCAGGTTGCCTTAGGGGAACCCCAATACCAAGCAGCCGAGCACTGAGGGGCCTACCCTGCACTCTCCCTAGAGGTGAGGGGTCTTGTCATGGCAGATTTGTCAGAGAGCCCCCCAGAGGCTTAAGAGCACACAGCAAGGCCTCTTGGATTGTTCTGGATGCTTCCAGGAAGTGGTCCCCAGTGAGCGGCACTCTGGGCAGAAGCCCCAGAAAGACATCAGAAGGGAAGGCAGGAGCCCTGTGCCCACTACGCTCTAGCACCCACTGTACCAGCCGGGTGCCCACTCAGTGCACAGATGGGAAAATGGTGACCCAGAGAAGGGTTTGGGGTAAACAGCGAAGTGACTGCAGTGTCAGGCCGATCCCCAAGCCAAAGTGGCGGGCCAGCCCTCCCCTGCTGCCCCTGTGGGCAGCTGACGCAGCAGAGCTGCTGACTCATGGGCAACCAGAGGCGCCTTGGTGGCTCTCAGAAATTGCAGAAGAGGTTCCTGAGGCAGCTCCGCCTGTGGCTCCAGGTCACGCATTCCAGGGGGGCAGGAAGGGGGTGGGGAAGACTCCTCCAGTTCTGTCCAGGTCGATGCTCAGGCCCCTGGGTGCCAGGCCTAGAGATACCCAGGGAGACTGCCTGGGCCAAGCCTGGACTGAGATAGGGATAGGTCAGGCCCAGGCTGCAGCCAGGGAACCAGGGGTTGGGATGGCTTCCTGGAGGAGGTGCCCAAGCCTATCCAGGAGCGGGGGAGGGAGCACTATGAACATCAACAGAGGCTTCTGGGGTTAGGACAAGCAGACAGGTAGGCCAAAGGGCATCCCAGCCCTGGGGTCATCATTCACAGTGTGCAGCCCAGGACGTGACCCTTCGCTGTGCCCTGCCTTTTGCTGGTGACGGGGCCAAGGGAAGGAGGCAGTATCCCCTTCTCCAGGAGCCCCAGTGCTGCCCTCTGTGGGGCAAGAACAAGGCCATCCCCACCTCCATTCAGCGAGCTGCGGTCCGTGCCAGGCTGGGAATGTGCCTGGGCCCGTGTGCCTTTGTGAAGGCTCAGCACAGGTGGTGGCTCTTGTTTACACATAGTGGCAGCTGGTGACCAGGCAGAGACCAGAAGCTGGGCCGGGAAGTCCAGGCCCCAAACTTCTGTGTTAGCCTCGAAGACTTCCTGGAAGAAGCTTCTATGCTGAGTCTCAATGATGTTGTCAAGTTCAGCTCCAGTACAGGCCGAGGTCAGAGGGGCACAGCTGGGCACTCTGGGCCAGGACAGGTGTACTGGTGCACCAGCTGGACACCGGAAGGGTGGAAGACTTCCTGCCAGTGTGGGCCCAGAACGGAAGGCAGCCGAGGTTAATCATTGCCACAAGGCCTTGACCCTACCTGCCCTGGCCTCTGTTCCACCTCCTGCTGTCCCTCCTGCCAGCCCAGGAGGAGCCATGGGGCGCTGGGCCTGGGTCCCCAGCCCCTACCCCCCAACCAGGCTTTCCCTTCTCCTGCTGCTGCTGCTGCCTCATGTGACCCAGCCCCAGGCTAGTGTGGTAAGTGCTGAACCCCACTGCAGTGTGACCAGGGCTCTCTGGCCCACTTGGGGCCTTGGGATGAGGCCAGAGGGAAGGTCCCTAGGGTAGGAGGAGGAGTGGGCCAAAGCCCAGTGTGGGCTGCTTGCAGGAAAGTTCGCCTTCAGGGAGTGAGGTGGGGGTGTCGGGCCCCACCTGGGGGCTGTCGGCCTCGATGTGGCCTTGCCCAGGTCCCCTCAGATGTGGGCACAGGCCCATTCCCTGGGCCTCTGTTGGGTCTAACTATTTAGGGTGTGTAGCTCAACCTGGTGGTAGGCTCTCAGCCTGGGGTGGGACCCTCAGCTAGCCCTGTTTAACCACTTGGACTTGGGGTAGGACAGGGGATGGGGCCCAGCTGGGGTCTTGGGACATCCAGTGTTTCCTGGACCCTGAGGGCCCCAGTATGGAAAGTGAGGCTCAGGGCTATGACCCCTGGGCCTGGCGGGGCATGAGTGTGAGTGCCGTCCCTACACCCACGCGGTCACAGCCCTCTTGGCCCCTCCTAGAACCATACCGAACGTCCAGAACCTAACGCCACGGCAACCCCTGCAACCCTCATGGTCCCCGTGACCTCTGCGACCCCTGAGGCCCCAGCAACTAGTGCTCCAGAGGCAGAGAGACCTCAAGGTGGGGGGCTCCCATCACCATCCAGGGCTGCTCCCTCGAGCAGCATCCCTGTGGACCAAGGTGGGTCAGGTGGCCCCGGGTGGCTCTGGGAAGCGGGATGCATGAGTGGTGGGGGTGCCTGTGTAGAGCCCCTGCCCTGCCCCCTCTGCAGGGCTCACAGAGGATGGGAAGCCTTGCAGGTTCCCCTTCCGCTACGGAGGCCGCATGCTCCACTCCTGCACCTCAGAGGGACGTGCCCACAGGAAGTGGTGGGTGCTATCCCTGGGTCAGGTGGCAGGGTGGGCAGGGACCCTAGCTGGGATCTAGACTGTGGGCCCAGCCTGCTGCCACCCACTCCAGACTGTGAGCCTGGCACACAGCAGGTGGGCAGGGCTGAGACCCCCAGGTCACTGCAGGTGTCGCCCCCTAGGTGTGCCACGACCCACAACTATGACCGGGACAGGGCCTGGGGCTACTGTGCAGAAGCTGCCCCACCTCTGGAGGACCCAGGTGGGTGCCGAACGTGTGTGTGTGGGGGGAAACAGCTCGAGCCTTAGCTTAGGAGGGGGCTAGGCCTGGGGGTAGAGCTTGGAGAGCAATAGGGTCCAAGTGCTGTGTGGGGCGGGGGCCGTGGGGGAGACCGAGCTGCCTGCAATGGAGGAGGGGCTCTAGGGTTGGTCCCAGAGCAACGTGGGGGTGGGTGGGTGGTATGGACACAGAGGCACCCAGCCCAGGAGGGGGAATTTTCTCTCAGGCAAGACCTTGGTTATTGCTGGTGCCAAGGCGCCCCCTGGCGGTCAGGCTGGCACCGTGGCTACACAGGCAAGCCTGGACAGGAGACCCGGTTGGGGGCAGCGGGCCCAGGGAGTAAGGGCCATGGGGTCGTGGGCTGCGCTAGAGCAGGACTTGTGACTTCAACGTC